TCTTGATTGATCGATTTAAGAATAGAACTTGGTCAGTGTGGAAGAATTTAAATTACTCTACAACCAGAATTTCCATCCATCAAATGCTATACACTCTTTTGCATTACATATTTGTTTTAATCATGTGATTATATTCAATGATCAATACATGAACTGGCTCACATTTTGAGTAGGTAAAATGTTGTGCAGTTCTTGGAGGGAATGAAAGAAAAATATAGTAGAGAATTACTTCTCTCTTTATATGAAATAACACTGACGCATATCATATACTGTAGATTACTACCTTTTTATGTTTTTATCATATATGAAAAGGAAGTATTCAGGAATTAAATACACTGAAAATTTCTGTACTGTGTGCGTTAACATATTGTTTTAAATAAAGCTTCAATATCAGTATGTATTAATAACCTCACTGTAGAATAATTTTATTTGTGAAAAGCACACAGGGACACAGTAGTATTTGCTGATGACGTGTGGGGCACAATGCATTGCTCACAATCATATCATTGTGCTTTGGCTGCCACAAGTAACATCATGATAGTCACTCACTGCCTCAGTGTGCTCGTGATTAACGTCTGGGTAAGGGGAGGAGATTACTGACTCTCCAGTTGACAATTTCGATGGTCCACATCCATTCCATCTGCTTTCGCAGATCGTCAGTACTTCTATACCATATCGTCTCATTCAACTGTTTTCCTGGGAAGCCTTCCCAGCCTCGTGCACTGTACGTACATTCCACGTCCCCATTCTTAGTCTCGCTTTCATCGAGAGAAGACACATCGGCTCTCTGACTGGCTTTCAGAAGGCCGGCTTCCACCAGCCCGCATCATTTCGCCCCTCTGATTCCAACAAAGAATAAGTTTGGGTTTTATATTTTTCGTATTTTCAATATATTTCTTTTTCGTTGAATTATCTCTAGCACTTTGATAGTACTTTTTGTGTAAGGTCGCCAGCCCCATGCTCAACCCTCCCTCCTTACCCGGGCTTGGGACAGGCTAGAAAACTGATGAACTAGTAAACTAAGCGAGGTTATTCCATACGGGTCATAAACTTACACTGTTTATCACGTAAAGGATTTCTAACCAGTTACAGACTTTTATCAACAGCTGCCTTTTTTGGATGCATACTGAAGATCGAATGGCCAGCTGGTTAGAGGGAATTGGCAACGAGAAATTCTACCTGGTGACGAACCAGCCAAGAGCTGATTGCTCAACAGATATGTAGGGGAAAATGGAGATAGATTAGGCATTCGTTGAGGAAGCCATCGTATGATATCGCACTTAATGCAGGTCACCACTTGAGTAGAATCCCAATGGGAAGCGACCAGGTGGTCGTCATTGTGAGGAGTAGGAGATGAGAGATTATGGTCAAACGTGCGTAGAGCTGAAGAGGACAGCAGAAGATAGAACAAAGTGGAGATGTGTTGCTGAAGCCCTAGGTTCCACTCGGAACCCAAGGGAATAACAAAGAATATAAATAAAAATCATATCATAGTATTCAAATAACGCTTACATGATTATGAGCTAAAAATTACGCTTGAAACGCCGTCAGTAATCAATACTATATCAATGTGTGCATTTATCGAATAAATTTATTCTGTAATGTAACTTTAAAGTGACTGATTAACGAGATGATTTTGTCAAAGTATTAAGCATTACTTTTGCTAATTATTTCGTTGGCCTGATATCTGACAATTTTACAAGACGGTTCTATTGTTTATTGGTTGATACGCATAATCTATATTAAGCTACTTTCTCAGAATACAGTTTACACAGTTCAAGGAGGTCAGATGTCTCCAGTGTATCCTTCGGAAACCAAAAATAATTCAGAGGACAATATGTGATTTGTCTGATATCATAAATGGCAATCAAGAAAGACGACATAATGGTATAAAACTTCCATCTGCCTAGCAAAGTCTACTGGACAATATGAGTGGAAAACAACTACTCACTTCAGTCAATTAGTAGTATATAGTTGTACGTATTTACGTTTACTTTCTTTATTGCCGTTTAAAGATACTACAGAGGGTCATGGTAGCAAAAGTGGTTGAACCTGTTTCTTTTCCACACACACACACACACACACACAGCTTCGGTTGCTTCAAACGAATTTCAATGAGCTCTTCTATTCGAAGTATTCGGTTCGAAGAAGCTTATGGCATTTTATCTGGTACCCAATAGACGATAGAAATAGATTCTTCAAAATTGGCTTTACGGCCGATTTGAACAAGATCGTCTAATGTCACACTGTTGACGGCTTGTACCACACCTTTATATAGCCCCACTTATAGGTGTTCCCGTGCATGAAAAATGAAGATCCCAGAGAAACAGTCAGCATAAACTAGCCCATCAGAAGTGGTTGAATTTTTAGATACAAGAAGAGGTGGCTGGTCTAGGTACTTCGTGTTTCCGTTTCAGAATCATAGACAAAACTTTTCTCAATTGTTTGGGTGTTGTGAATGGTCTTATTTCATTTTGCATTCAGTGTCGTTAAAAGAATACTACACTCGTTTCTAATGTTCTATTTAGTCTGTTTTATCGATTTTTCACTCAGTCAGAATGAATATCTATTGTGGCGTTCGCTATACACCTTCCGATTACTCCTATCCTGACTCCTACACTATACTCACTCTCAGATTAAACGAATGGTGCTATATTCCTCGACTTTTAAACCTGCAATTTATCACAAACTCAGTTTAATCAACATTGCATCATAGTCCACCATCCGCGACAGCGAAAACAATTAGGGTGAAAATAAATATATGAAACTAAATTAAGTAAATATTAACTAGATAAACGGCCAGCCCATATGTGGATGCCTTAGGTTTTTTAACTTTTCTTCGCATTCACTTCGGCAAGTTTGACAGAGTAACGTAGAAACCCATTGAGTTCCTTCACTGTCGTAGGGTCCCTGCATTTTTTCAAATCGTGGAAAATACCCATTGGAACATTACATTGAGAAGAATAAGAAGTTCAGCAAAGATATCTTTTCGGCGATTTCATTTTCAAAAGCTGTACAATCGCATTTAAATACATAATTTTACATGGAGACAATTTTTGTTTGATTCTACATAATTATGACAGCGAATAAAAGGTGATAATTATTTCCAACTAGATATGGTTTTACGAGAGGCTTAGAAACAAAATTACGTAGGATTAGAACGGATATCAAGTGTGTAAAAATGAGCATGGATACAAAATTGAAATAATAATTTTCAACTTGAGATGGGAGTTAGGGGACTCTTGTAATCTATATTCGCAACTCCTAACTCCCATCTCAAGTTGAAAATTATTATTTCAATTTTGTATCCATGCTCATTTTTACACACTTGATATCCGTTCTAATCCTACGTAATTTTGTTTCTAAGCCTCTCGTAAAACCATATCTAGTTGGAAATAATTATCACCTTTTATTCGCTGTCATAATTATGTAGAATCAAACAAAAATTGTCTCCATGTAAAATTATGTATTTAAATGCGATTGTACAGCTTTTGAAAATGAAATCGCCGAAAAGATATCTTTGCTGAACTTCTTATTCTTCTCAATGTAATGTTCCAATGGGTATTTTCCACGATTTCTAACTTTTGTTTCAACAGCTACACATCCGACCATGCTCGGATACATTTTGGAACCTTTCTTGGTGCTGGTAATACACACAACCTTAGAGTGTGTAGCTCAGTGGAACTAGCCAGATAGATTTCTGAAATCTTCTCCAGTCCCCACCAAATAACCTTAAAACTTCATTCTATTTAAACATATATATAAACATATTGCTCATCAGAGCATATTTCTAAATAACCGACTCTTCTTTTGACCTATGTGATTTATGGTCAATACTTGCAGGTTAGGTGATGTACTGATCAATTAGGTATAATTAGGCACATTGTAGTTATTAGTAAGGCTTGTACAGCGTAGCACATCAACGACACAACGGAATGAAACCTTCCCGGTGAATTATTTTAATGTTTATCACAAAGTGACTTCAGTTAGAGAACAGCTGTAAATAAATAGGAAGAATTGGATGTCTCTTCCGTTCTATTTCGGGACTCCTCAGGATTACTCACCTCAGTGATTGAACCCAGAACATCCAGCCTACAAGGTAAACTCGTATACTGTTGAGACACCAGGACAGAATTCAGTGGTGCAACAATTCCAACTTCTGCCCATTCAAAACTGTGCGCGATCTGCAGCCAATGTCATCGGTGAGTTTCTGTCCTTACGCCCAACTAGTGGGATGTCGTGATCAGCAGGATCTAGCAAGCAACCTAAAGGTCCTGTGCTCAATCTTAGGTGGGTGTCTATTGCTGTAGAGTCCCGGATTGAGACGAAGCAGGCATTTAATATACTCCCTAGCTTACAAGGGTTCTCTGACAGAAGTCGACTCTTGATCAGTCTTGAAATTAATCAAGTCCCTACAAACCAACGCGCAAAAAATTCCTGAATTATATTAAAACATGAGAAAAATTTCTCTGAAAAGTCATTTCCAAAATAGTATTTTCTTTTTTTAATTCATTAAAAATTTACCTATTTACATTATTAGTTTATTTATTCATTCATTTCAACATTCACGCATATAATTAATTCATAAGGGTGTGTGTGTGTTTAAATTAATCACTATATATCTTTGAACAGAAGAATGTTAGACATTTTCAAATGGAGAGGCGAAAAAAGATATCTTTCTTATTCCACTCGTTGTTTGTTTGTGTGTTTCTTTGTAGTAAATATTTTTTTCTATACTGGTGATAACATTCATTAGTTGTTGTTCTTATTGACGGCTAGTCAATAAATCATTCGAGAGAGAGAAACAGAAGAAAAAAAATCAATATCCTTGTTTTAATGTCATATCACATAGATTGCGCGAAATTTGAATTTGAAAGTTAAAAAATGAAAAATGTAAAACATGTACACCTAGAAAGTTGAAATGAATTCAAATCATCTGTGATGGATATACTTACAGCAGAGTTTTATATGTACATATTGATAGTTGATAAATTCACTCATTATACAAAGTTATTGTTCTCTTCAGAACTGTTATTATTATTATTGTCTGAATCACTTTCAGTGTCAAGTTTATGCTTAGAACCGGGTCGAAGAATAGGCTTTGGTTTTCGATTGTATTTATCCAAACTTTGAGCAGATAAGCATAAAGATGAGGAGTAATTTGATTTGACCGTGTGTTGACTAGCAAATTTCCGCATAAAAGCTACACTGTCACTGGTATTACTGCCATCAATGGCAGATGTATTACCACTGTTGACTTTTCGAAATCTTGACGGCAGTGTAGTTACTCGAAGAGTGTTCAGATTATTTTTATGTTGATGATGATGATGATCAGAATTTTGACGACCGTCATAAAATATTTTACCTGATATTGATTTACGATTAAGCCTTAAGGAGGAATGTACAGGACAGTTTGAGTTTTCATTTAATTTGTTTATAACATTACTATTACGATTTCCATGGTAATTTATAGGACGACCATTTGAACTGCTTGGGCGACTTAATCGTCTTGTAGGTGGATAGAATTCCGGGGAAGGAGGTGATTGTTGTTCTGGAGTTTCATCGTCTACACCGTCACCGCTGACCACTGCTGTTGATAAATTCAGTTGATTAGATAATGAAGAACAAATTGAATTCAGTCTTGCTTGATTTGATGGATAGGCAAATTTGAATTTTTGATTCACTGAAGATGCTGTCGATGATGATGAGGTAGACGAATCAGAGGCACAATCACTGTGCGGACATTTTTCACACGCTGAACTTTCACCTTGAGATCCAGTTTCAGAGGATGAACATCCACCTCTGTCGTGTTTATTACCGGGAGGAAGTAAGAAACTGTGACCTCTGTCATGATCACTATTCGACTGTTGGTCAGTTTCATCCTCATCTTGTTCACTTGTATTATCATTGGTTGAAGAGTAGACTGTCACTTTTCGACTGTATCCACCATCCTCTTTACCATGAGGATGATGCAGTTGATGGTTCGACTGACTATTAATAAGAGGTTTACCGAAATGGTGTGTTTTTAAGGTATTACTGGCAATTGTTGTCACATCAACTGGGTAACCAGTCTTACTCTTCCTTCGTGTCAATGTCTGAAGTCCATGCAGTGGACATGATTCATGTGGTATGGAATCTGAAGGCCATTGTAGATTGGGATCATGCATATTGATATTCTGTAATAGAGTGCCATTCTTTGGTAATGTTTTAGAGTAATTCTGTATCACCTCTGCAGTTTCACCCAGATTTGAATTAGTACTGTTATTAACATTATTACTGGCTTTGTTATCCACACTTGTATTTAACAATACACAATTTGATATATTGTAGGCTAAATGAGGATTGTTTAGAAATGAGGCCAGGTTGGAGTGATCCCAATAGACAGAATCAATTTTCTGGTAATTTGAAGACTGTCTGCTAGTATCACAATTACTCGAAGAAGTATTACTGGTATTAGTAGTAGTATTAGTGATAGGCGTGGTGTTGGTCGTATTACTACTAATCAGTTCAACTTGTTTCAGCTTCATAACTCCATGTACAGGACACGGTTTCGATGTCTCCGTAGCCATCTGATTAGACGAAGTATACGTGGTCAATAATTCATGCAGTAAATGATTCCGACTAGTATCCCAGACTGTTGGATTTGCTTGATGCTGTAAAACACTGACGTGTTGTGGTTGTAAACAAGCAGAAAAGTTTACAGGTGATATATTTGAACATGGTGTAATTCCATTGGCAATCAGCAGTTTCGGTTCAGGACTATCACAGGATACCAGTAGACGGTTTCCACCAGTAGCTACTGTTTCGTGTATTAAAGATCCACCTAAGTGTGTTACACTAGTCAATGATGTTGGACAAGATGATTCTATGGTCGGCAGAGCGACCACTTGAACTTCACGTGTTGTATTTGTAGGACAGCAGAAAATATTCAATAGGCGGTTGTTATCTTCAACATTTCTCTTTTGTAGATCATTACTAACATCATTATTATTAGAATCTACAATAGCTGTGGAGATAAGTGTCTTTGAACAGGTTGAATCACCTTTCTTCACATTATTGGCTAATTGTACTTCACTCTTATCGATTATCTTCCGTTCATCATCTTGACTACCGGCTACCATTAGACTACTCAATGAATCATCTTTATTGTCTTCAGATTTTCTACTAGTGTTATTCCGCTTCCTGAAACATTGAATCCGACTTTTGCAAAGAGAATATGACGTGCCGGAACACTTTTTCTTCTTCTTCGTGTCATGTGTTTCTTGCAGTGTTTGTGATTCCGCGGATAAATCTGATGTCCTCGTCTGTGGTTCACAACAACAAAATATGCCTACTCCAATTATTGCTAGCATTACGAATAGGATTATCACAGCAATACTAACATAAATCCAATTCTTTGTTTCTCCATTAATACCGAATAACAAAAAGGCTCCATGCATAAATGATTTTTCATCACTCGGGTAAAGTATTCTCCCGTCAGAATTTAAAACTGCCACTGAAAACATTGTCTGCTGTTCCGGGTTCAATACACAACTCCATAGGCCTGTATGTTCACCTGTAGTAGAGGAAATGATTAGATTTGAATAGAAATTTGATCCCATTTGACCTTGAATAATCATTTTCTCAGAGGTATTCTGTACAAGTTGATCATCTTTATACCACTGGAGGTTATCAATAGCTGTTGAATGATATTCACAGCGTAGCAGCATTGTTTTACCAAAATCTAGTGTGAAATTTTCATTGGATGTAAAAATTTGTGGGGGACAGCGTAAATCTGAGAATTGTACAGCATTGTATTTATTATTATTATTTCTATTATCGCTACCGTCAGACAATAAATATTTGCCTTTCAAACTATCCGGTTTAAAGCATACCGGTTCACTGACTTCAATATTCCCGTTAAGATCCGTTTTATTCAATTGATAACGTAATCCCTTAGAGGATTCTTGTAGAAACCATAATTTTAACCAACTTAGTTTACAGTCACAAGTCCAAGGATTCCCGCCAAGATAGAATTCTTTCAATTCAGGCATATTATTCAAAACCAGTTCATTCGATGCATGCAGACTGTTTAATCCTGTGAAACTTAAATCTAACAAACGCAAGTACATTAATGGTTTCAGTGTATTCGATTCAAATTTTATACCTGTTGATTTAACAGATCCTAACCACAAGTACTGCAGTTTATTCCCACGTAAACTATCAAAAAATGCATCCGGTATAAAATCAATAGGATTTTCAGCTAAATTCAGCGAACGTAAATTCGGCAAATCATTGAGTAATTCCACTGGAAAACTCATTCTACTGATAGTTAATGAATTATTTCTCAGATTAATATATTTCAATGAAATTAACTGACGAAATGTATCCGACTCGATTTGTTTAACTTGACTAGATTCAATATGAAATGTTTCAAGGTGAATTAAATGATTCACCGCGGCACGTTTAATTTTTCCAATCGATTGGTGTAAAACACGTAATTCAATCAGATGTTCTGGTAAATTTGACGGTAATTGTGTTAATTTATTCACTTCGGAATCACATAATGCTTTTTTCCACTTGTAATCTGATTGATAGAATATACTACAGCCTTGGACAGCTTCAACATTATGCTTGAATAGGAGTTGAATATTGAATATATACAACCAAATGTAAAATGTATAGGTGAATGAAGTGCGCAATGTGGAAGACCAGAACGATAATGATGTAGAACTAGTGAAAGACTGAGATGAGGAGGTAATTCTGAATGATAATACACTTGAATAACTTTTCATTGAACACAACAGTCCATTAAAAAAAGTGGGTAAGAAGTTTTGAAACAATAATTAATTAATAACACACTGGGTAATCATCGTAGACAATGCTATCTCCAGAGATCTTGTGAAGAACAGGCATACACTCCATTTTGCCTGTAATATCATCATAACAGATTTGTTTTATGAGAAGTGTAATTCCATTGCTTGATAAATTAACATCCTATCTCTAACCTGGAACAGCATGTTATACACGACTGAATCAGTATTTATTATTATCACTGTTAGTAAACTGGCTTAGATCATCTCTCATCACATCACACCTAATCGTAAAACAATCGTCTAAGGCAATGACGCACGCACATAGACACACAGACACTTACCCGTGTTAATCAGATTTCCCCAAGGTCATTCCGGGGGAGGACGAGGAGGAGGTGGGGAAGTGAAAATTTCAGGCATACAGAAGAAGGCGAAGAAGACAGCGGAAACAGATAGAGGAGAACTAGACATGCGAAAATTGACAGGCTTAGTGGACGACTAGCGACGACTATCAGCCAATAAAATATTACGGGAAATTATTATATATGTCTGTACAATCTGTACAGTTCACATTGTATGACTGTGGTAATGCAGACAACCAATCGAAATTGAATTCCATATGAAAAAAATTATCAATAATAGAAAATCAGATCAATAGTAAGAGGAATCAGAATAGGATTATTATTATTATTATTATTAATTATTATTATTATTTCTGTTGTCTGTATGCACGACATATACAAAAATAGTCAAAAGTGGGTGAGGAGGGGGGACTGTTTTGTTAGCCAAGTGGAAAATTAACTTCTAGGCGTAATCAACAATATTTAACCCCGTTTGATTGACATGAAATCGGCTTTCTAATTAGTCGTCCCCAGGTCATATTTATCTCATGGAAACCAATGGAAAAATTAGACAGGAATTAAGTGATTCACTTCCAGATTTTTTTTCTACGGGAGATCGACTTCATTCTTCAAAAGTAGATACAGAGTGTTTGAAAAGCCACTGTAAGCCAAACAGATGTAGACTCAGATCATGTATGTTAGTGTATAGAGATCTTATTTTGTTTTTCAACTTTGTACAGTTAGTGAGGGGTTTGTGTATACAATGTTAACTGACACCAAAGGTGAGAGGTTATTGTTAGTCAGACATTATTATTATTATTGTTGTTCCCTTGAGTTCCTAGTGGAACATAGGGCTTCAACTACACGTCTCCACTTGCTTCTGTCTTCTGCTGTACTTTTCACCTGCATCCATCTTAGTCCATACCATTTCAGCTCCTCTTCACACGATCTCCTCCATGTCACCCTTGGACGTCCCACTCATCGCCTCCCTTTCGGGTTACACTCGAGCGTTGGCCTGACGCGCAATGTCACCCAGCCGCCTCCTCAGCGAGTGTCCAATCCATCTCCACTTTCTCCTGTATATTTGTTGAGCGATTGGTTCTTGTTTTGTTTGTTCTCATAGTTTCTTGTTGGTGATTCTTTCCGGCCATCTAATCTTCAGTATAGTGCGAAGACAGTTGTTGATAAAGGTCTGCAACAGGCTGTTGGAAATATTCTTTGTGACCCGCCAAGTTTCTGATCCGTATAGAAGAACTGACTTGACGTTTGTATTGAAAATCCGAATTTTGTTGTTGATGATGAGTGACGAAGATTTCCAGATTGGTTTCAGGTTGATGAATGTGTTTCTCGCCTTCCCGATTCTCGATTTGACATCCTCGTCCGTTCCTCCTGTAGTTGAGACAATGCTCCCTAGATAAGTGAATGAAGTAACCTCTTTCATATCCCTCCCATTGATGGTGATTGGGGCAGGATGTTGCTGTTGTTGTTGTTGTTGGTTGGTTATTTTCGTAGCCTCCATCTTGCCTATGTTCGCCTGTAGTCCTGTCTTTGCTGCTTCTTCGACCAGTTCATCGGTTTTCGCTTGTAAGTCTTCGATTTTGTGTGACATCAAACATAAATCATCCGCGAAATCCAGGTCTTCTAGGTTCTTCACGTCGGTTCAGGATATCCCTGTCTTGTCGTTTTCCACTGTCTGACGCATAATCCAGTCCACCACAATTAGGAATATCATTGGTTATAATAAGCACCCTTTTCTGACATTAGCAGGAGAGAATTCATTCAGATTCATAAATGGAGTACGATCACACCTTTTCGAAAGGATTTCGCCAGTATCGTCTTCATACAGACGAAGTTTCAGCAATCGATAAGGAAAAACTCAAGCTTTGTCTGATCACGGATTGATATGAGTTAGAGAAGCAGTGAAAACCAGGTAGTATTAGACAGCCATTTCGTCCTAGTTTGGGGCTCATTGGCAGTACACACCCACAACCAGAGTTCCGACCCAGAACCTTCCGGTTACAAGCTAGCAAGCTCTTACGCCAATTAGCCAGTGGGACCCAACTCAATGGCCAGCCCATGAATTCTAATTTCTACTATTTCGTGTCGATTCTAGCGCGACTGGCACTAGCCAGTGTCACCGCTAGTGAATATTTGTCCTTGACATCCGCCAGCTTGACCTTACTGGTCACGACTTCTCACTAGAACTCCATGCAGCTTGGTTTTGTAGTCGGTCACCAGTTTGTGGGGGTTTGATGTGAATAGTACACCAGCTTACCCTGGAACCAGAAGGTCCTGGGTTCGAACCCTGGCGGTGGGCGCGTGCTGATGAGGAGTCCCAAACCAGGACGAAACAGTTGTCCAGTACTCTCAAGTTATATTGTTTTTATTTGAAATAATTAGTTCCCTTAATGAATTTCGATAAAGCAATAAGAAGACGTAATTTATCTGAATCGTATAAAATATATTCGCGCAACACATTTCGAACAATCTGGTCACAGCGCAAGTACTTGTCATAGAAATATACATGCGAATAATAAACCGTTAAGGGGTGAAAGAATAGACGCAAGTTAAAAGGCTACATTAATAGCCAAAATAACAAAGCAGGTCAATAAACCAAAGAAAGGAGATAGTAGTACGCCCGTCCTGGTATCAAAATAAAGATGGTTTAGTGTGAGGAAAAATTGTTTTTGAAAACATAAATGGTGACGTAAACTTCCTAATTGCTAGGGTTTCCACAAACTTTAAGATACACCCCAAACACGTCTTACAGATAGATTTAAAAGAGTTGTACACATCACTTTGCACATCCTGCCTCTGTAATGTGTTTCGTAACAGAAGAGCTGAGTCGTTTTTCTCCCAATTAATAAGTTCAGAGCATTTCATTTGCTTCTAATCTCGTTCGGACTTACATCCAGCCTATCCTATTTGTTGGTTTATTTCTCTTTAGCATTCATAGTGTCTGTCACTTCACTGACTAAATAAACCCTTGAAACCTGTACTTTTTGTTGACTGTACATACACAAACACATATCATTGAATTATTTCATTTCATCTCACATACTTAGTGACCACACATATTTTAAAGGATAGTTCAAGTTTGATATTATTAGGGGACTTTTGAAAACTGAAGAGTACTGGACAGCTGTTTTGTCCTAGTTCAGGACTCATTGGTAGTACGCACCCATTGGGTTTCGTGCCCGGGACCTTCCGGTTACAAGGTAACCTCGTAGACAGCTAAAAATCAGTCTGATGCTCAACGGCGAATGACTATAAAACCAAGTCGCCTGAGGTTTTAATGAGAAGTTGTAACCAGTCAGGGGTGAGGACAAATGCTCGCCAGCGATGAAATTGGCTGGTGCCAGTCATTCTAAAATCATGAATTGGCAAAAGTTAGAATTCATGGGCTGGCCACTGAGTTGGGTCCCAGTGGCTGAATGGTGTACGAGCTTGCTTGCTTGTAACCGAAATTTGCTGGGTTAGAACCTTGGCTGTGGGTGTGTACTGCCAATGAGTCCCAAACTAGGACGAAACGGCTGTCTAGTACTGCTTGGTTTTCGATGCTTCTCTAACTCATATCAATCCGTGATCAAATCTGAAACACATCAAATCCCTACACACAAACTCTTGAAAATTAAACGATAATCAGCACTAACTGACTGCTAGTCCCTCTTGTACTTGTACCGCAATACCCTTTCTGAAATAATTCTAAATTGCCTTTATTGGTATGTTAAAATAATTAGATTTACAACTGAAGAGCCGCTTAAAGAAGAATTTATTCGAACCCAAATTGTTCACTGTAATTATTATTGTTCAGAATAAACTGATTGCATGTGGTGATCGAGTTTCAAAATTGTTCAATCGTATTGTAATTAATATTGTGCCTTAGCATAATAGTTTAACTGGTCTATTCTGCTTAAATCCGGTACAACAGAATTATTATATTGTTATTATTATTGTTTCCTTTAGTTCCTAGTAGAAAATAGGGTTTCAGCCACACGTCTCCGCTGCGTTCGGTTCTCTGCCAACATTGTCACCTGACTCCACGTCTGCCCACATGCTTTCATGCATCTCCTCTTCACATGACCTAGTCCATATCACCCAACCCTCGAACTGACGATCAACTCGTCACTTTCCATTCAACTTCCACTCGAGCGATGGTCTGGCGTAGGATGTCACTCACTTGATGGTTTGTTTTCTCAGAGTATGACCAATCCACCTCCATTTCTTCCTGCCTATTTGTTTCACAATCGGTTCCTGGTTGGTTCGCTCATTGCCAGAGATCCCTGTTACTGATCATTTCTGGCCTCGTGATCTTGAGTAGTACTGAGCCAAGACAGCTGTTGATGAAGGTATTTAGTTTGTTCAAAGTGCCCTTCGTGACGCGCAGTGCAAGTCTCTGATCCATATAGTAAGTAGCACTGACTTCACATTGGAGTTGAAAATCCGGATGTTGTTTTTCATGCTGAGTGTGCTGTTGACCTCCACACAGACTTGAGACTAGTGAAAGCTTGTCTTACTTTCCTGATCCTTACTTTGATATCCTCATCAGTTCCGTCCGCCTGTAGTTGAAACGATACTTCCCAGGTAGGTAAGTAGGTGAAGGAGGTTGCTTCTTTCAGATTTCTCCCAATCATGCCAATT